CAATTAATTTCCAATGTAATGCTTCACAACCTGATATCTGTTATAATTTACCAACTGTTCATTTGTGATTGAAGAAAAAGTTTCCAAAATTCCCTGATCTATCGAGTGAAGGAAGTCTATTTTCTGAAATTCCGTTTTGGCACGAAATTGAACATTCTCATGTACCAAAAGTCACACATACACATTATTTCGTTCCTTCATCTAATTAATTAATGTAAACCTACTTTTAATGATGCCTCAGACCTTCAATTAAACAACGCAAAGACCGGAATAGAGCAAAGGAATAAATATACGATAAAGAAATAAACGAAACGGAAGGCAACATGACGTACGATAGGAAAACAAAACATCAAAAACACGTAACACATTTGACAGATGAAAACTTTTGAACACTTTAATTCTTATTTGTAATATAACTTGGTGAAATAAATTCAACTGATCAAGACACAGCTATTGTAAACGTTAAGTATTGGTTTACCATCTACAGCGATAAAAAATCCCTCAAAATATTGTCAGGAAAAAAACAGCTGATCAACACAACACTTGTCTACGTGGACTCTCTCCCTTTCCTCTTTTCCTCCATTCTCTTCCTTATTTTCCCGCTTTACCCCTATTTCCACCCTTTCTCTTTCCAGATGTATATACCTTCTACTGCTATCTAAGCCTGCAGGTCATTGTAGCCGCCGAGAGGAGAGAAATAAAGGCAAAAAAGGCAAAAATTGAAGGATAAACACTACTGGTGATGAGACAGGAACTTGGTCTTGACGTCAGCTGATGGAGGACAAGTGAAGGCAGCGTTGCGCACGAGGGGAAACGAGCGCAAGTTTTATTATTGTTATGATGATACAGGCGCTCACTGAATAATAATATCTCATGCATGATGATGATAATGAATATGGCGATAATGATCATACAACACACAGGCGATCATAGAATGATAACGTATGCATAATGGAGATATAAAACACACAAAGATACCGATAATGATGATGATGATGAAATCAAAGTCACGACAGTTAATGATAATGATAATGATAATGGTAGTAATCATGATGGCAATGATAACATATAGCAGTAACGATAATGATAATGTCAACAAAAATAGCGATAACAAAAATACAATTCTATAATAACAACAAAGATGACAATATAAATGATGATATTATGATGATAAGTGATAATGATAATGATCATAATTGTGAAAACGGCAAATATGATACGAAAGATGTTAAAAAGGATAATAACAATAATCACGATAGTGGTGACTATGACATTTATTGTGATTATAGAGATAATCATATTAACAACATTACTGACGTAAGAATAATAATAACCACAATAAGAACATGGTATATGGTAGAAGGGGTGAAGAATTGGTTGCGTAAGAATAATGAAGATAACGATAATAACCACAATAAGAACATGGTATACAAAATAGTTTTAATGGTAACACTGGGACATTGTTATTATTATTATCATTGACATGACTTTTTCATCATCATCATCATCATTATCGTTATTATCATTATCATTATTATCATCATCATCAATATCATTACTATTAGTATTACTACTACTATCACTACTGCTACTTGCTATAATCTGATTTTATCGTATTATATTATAATTCTCAGTTTATCTATCTACTAATTATTCATATTATTATTATTGGATTATTACAATTAGTTTTATCTCTTATCAGTTATTTATTATCTTTCATTTAATTCATTCATATCATTATCTTCACGAATTCTTATTGTTATTACTTGTTATGTTTATCATTATATCTATTATATCATAATTATTGATTATTTATCATTATTATTATTATTTATGTTATTATTATATATTATTATTATTATTATTATTATTATATTTATTATTATTATTCTTTCTCATCATTGTATCATTATTATCATATTATATTATCATTATTATTATTGATTATTATTATATTATTATTATTATTATTATTATCATTATTATTATTTTTATATTATTATTTTATTATTATTATTATTTATTATTATTATTACTATTATATTATTTATTATATATTATTATATATTATTATCATTAATTATTATTATTATTATTATTATCATCATTATTATTATTATTATTATATTATATTATTATTTTATTATATAATTTATTATTATCATTTTATTATTATATATTATTATTATTATTGATTTATCATATTATTTATCATTATTTATTATTATTTTATTATTATTATTATTATTATTTAATATATTTTATTTATATTATCTATTATTACTTATTATTATTATTTATTTTATTTATTAGTTATTATTATTATTATTATTATTATTATCTATTATTATTATTTATTATTATTATTATTATTATTATTATTATTAATCATTATATGTTATTATTTTATTATTATATTATTATTATCATTATTATTACTATTATTATGTTATTATTTATTATTGTTTATTATTTATTATCATTTTATTATTCATTATATTATTATTATTTATTATTATTATTATTATTATTATTATGTATTATATTATTATTATTTTTATTATATTATATATCATTACTATTATTATTGTTATTATATTATCATTATTATTTTATTATTAGCATCATCATTATCTTATTATTAATTACTCATTATATCATTACTACCTATCATTACTATTATTATCATAATTATCATTATTGGTATCATTATCATTATTCTTATTGTTATTATCATTATCATTATTATCATTGTCAGCATCATTATTATTGTTACTATTATTATTATCATATATTATTATATATTATATCATTATTATTATTATTATTTATTATTATTATTATATTATTATTATTATTATTATTATTTTATTATTATTATTATTATTATTATTTGTTTATTATTATTATTATATTTTTATGTATCATTATTTATTATTATCTATTATCATCATCACCATCATTATCGATCATCATTACATCATATCATCATCATCATCATTATCATTATTATCATTATTATTATTACTACTAATATTGCCATCATCATTTTTCTTATTGCTATTATTGTTATTATGATTATCATTCTTATTATCGTTATCATCATTATTATCAATGTTATTATTTTTATCATTATAATCATTATTATCATTACTATTATACTTATTATCATAATATCAAATATTATCATTATCAGTATCTTTATCATCATTATCATTATCATCATCATTATTATTATAATCATTTTATTATCATTGCTATTATTTGTGTCACCATTATCATTCTTCCTCCTATTATTGTTATCATTATCATTATTATCATATTATTATTGTCATTATCATTATTATTATATTATTGTTATTATTATAGGTATTATTATGTTATCATCATTATTTATCATTATTATTATTTTCATTTCTATTATTTTATTATTATTATTATATTATTATTATTATTATATATTATATTTATTATTATTATTATTATTATATTATTATTATTATTATTATTATTATTATTATTTTATTATTATATATTATTTATATTATTATTATTGATATTACCATTACTACCATTATGATTATTTTGTTGTTTTGTTCTTAATATTATTATCATTGTTATTATTACTATTAATCATTTATCATTATTGTTTTATAATCATTATTATCTATCATTATCATTATTATTGTTATCATTGTTATCATTACTCATCATTACCATTATAATTTTTTATGATATTTGATAATAATGATGATAATTAGTGTTATTATCATCATAATCATAAATATCATTGGCATCGTTCTCATTACTATAATTATTATCATTATCATTATTATGATAATTATCATATATTACATTATCTTATTGTTATTATTATTATCCTTATCCTTATCCTTATCATTATTGCTATTATTACTTTTATTGTCATTGTTATGATTATTATGATTAGTATTACATAATGATTGAATTGATGAAACTGATACTAGCACCATTGCATGTAAATATATTACCTCTAAACACTTATGACTTTAGGAAATTGATCAATAAATTGTTTGTGTAATTTTCCTGGTACAAAAACTATATCATAATTAATCTCATTATCACACAGTAGGGATAAAAAAAAAAACTTTTGAAAAGAAATATCCCGTTTAGATCCAATATTAACGAAAGAGAAATAATTGATAATTAAAAAGAAGAGTTAATGGAGAAAGTGATGTTGTATCACTGTCTCATATTCTAATAAGATCGGATTAAAACTGTTAGTTATTAATCAAACATTTGTGGGGATTATGACCATCAATTTAAATCAAGTTTCTTAGCATCATTTACTTATATTATATTTTGCATATATATATATATATATATATATATATATATAGTATATATTACTTATTATCTATTTATGCATATTTATATATATATATATATATATATATATATATTTATATATATAATATATACAATATATATATGTATATGTATATATATATATTATATATAGTATGTATGTATTATGTATGTATATATATATACATACATACATACATATATATATATATATATATACATATATATACATATATATATATATAATATATATATATATATATATATATATATATATATATATATATATATATATATATATATATATATATATATATATATATATATATATATATATATATATATATATATATATATTATATATATATATATATATATATAATATATATATATATATATATATATATATATATATATATATATATATATATATATAATTATATATATATATATATATATATATATATATATATATATATATATCATATATATTATATATATATATATATATATATATATATATATATATATATATATATATATATAATATATATATTATATATGCTCGGCATAATATTGGCGGCGAAGCTGGACTTTCCCGCGCGATCGAGACGGCGCTTCGGAGACGCTCATCCGCCGTGTCCGGTTTGCTTGACGAAGTCCTCGCTAAGAATATCTTTAACCTTTCCACATAAAAGAAGGGAAAAGATTAGGAAAGAAATCTGTTGCTTCTATTACATTTGTATCAGGTATACTAACTCTCATCTTAACCTTAATTAGTTTTGCGGACTTTTGCGGAAGTTTCTTTAGCGATATATTTATCCTACAGTTTCATTAACTTTCCCGCGTCTCTTTCATCCCTACGAACGCCGTTTTTATGGATTCGAAACCGTTCGTTGGAAATCTCCGGGAAATAATCGACTAAGATTCTGTCTTCCTTTTTTCTTATTACTTATTTATTTATTTATTTATTTATTTTTACTGTATTTTACCAATTTGATTGGTATTAATACACCTTAAATACGAAATATGAAGCATTAAATTAGTATTTCATTTTATACAAGTCACAAAAACGGACGAGTTACCGATTATTTATTTTAATAGTCATGGAACTACAAAGCTACTGTATCCATTGTTACCTATTTTTATATATACTTTTTTTCTGTGGAGAACCTTAATTTTCATTGCCGGCTGATTATATTTCGTTGTCTCCATACATACATTTTTTCCTTCATTTTTTTCCCTATTACAACTGTCTATTTATTTACCATTTCATCTATTCATTTATTCTTATTTGATTTGTCTACTTTTCAAATTTACTCATGTGATGAGGGCTACGAGGGTATCTTATCTGTATCTTGCAATTTTATGGAATTTAAAAAATTGCGGTATTTTCTTTTTAGCACTTTCATCAATTATGGATCTA